TTCTTTGTTAAGGATTTACTATAGTGAGAATTCAGCAAAGTATCAAATTGATAATCTCATTGTCTCATAAAGACTGATTTGAAAAAGTCAATTTATTTAAAAACAGTAGCCAAAAAACATTTAAAGCCTTAAATATCCTAAAGAAAGTAATCACAAACCCACATTCATGAAACATTAATGATTATAAAATGAAAAAAATGGAAGAGAAACCAGATTATTTTCAATTAAAAAATAAGCTGTGTCTTTATGGAAATATAATCCTGAACATAGGAAAACCAGGATTCTGTCAGCGTGTTACGCCCCTATACCCACTTAATCATGAAAGCAGCAACCAGCCTCCTCCTGGAACAACTACAAAGATGTTTTCGCAAAAGCAGGTCAATGTTTTTAGCAAGCAGATAACAAGTAGCAATAATAGTTATGTGTCAAGTAAACACATCAACATAGGATTATGATAAAGAGTAAATGAAGGAATGCATATAGAGTTTATAGCACAAGACATTTTTTTAAAAAGGTGAGTGTTACCTCACAGAAAATAGTAGCGTCATTCTAAAGCTAAATTGTATGCTGTCATATCACAGGTATTAGTGCATGTTACCTCACGGTCATAATACAAACAAAATTCAGAATATTTTTTATATCAGTCACACCTCAGTGTCATTCTTAAGCTAATAAATTATTCTTTTTCACTGTAAACAGTACAAATTCATGGCTTTGCCAGCAGTTCATGACTGCTGAGTAATAATAACACAGCTAACATCTACTGAGCACATACTGTGCACTAGGAGTGTGCTGGGAATGTCCCCTGTATTGTTTTATCTAAACTTTGGAACAGTACTATGAGGTAGGTGCTGTTATTCCCATTTTACAGATGGCAAAGCTGAGGCCAAGAGAGTAACTTGCAGACATCCAAAGTGCTTGGACCAGGATGAAGACATGCTTGGAGAGCATACACTAACACAGCAGTCTACCTAGGAAAGGTATTGGTTGCCAGGAAAAGAAAGATGAGCGGTTTCAGGCAGCAGATCAGGGAACTGAGGATAAAGGGGAGAGACGGTAAGAGCGGAGACACATTCCTGCCTGAGGCTAAATTTCCACGCCAGAAAGTTTTCAAAGAAATAGGAGTTTGAGTGCAGATCAGTTAATAGGAGGAGAAAAAGGATTTTCTAAGGGAAGAGTTGGACAAGACATTTGAGGGTGGACTCTGGAGAATTTGGAAATGACAAGAGTTTGTGAGTGTGAAGCGGTGAGGTTGTGAGAAACAAAGTAACCCTGGGGAGGCTCTGGGCGGACAGAAGGCCAGCCCCTCGGAGAGGAGGTGGGCGTGGGGGACCGGTGGTGTCTGGGGCAGGTGTTCCTCTGCTGTTTCCCTTGTCTCCCAGCCCTCAGCATCTCAGCAGCATTTCCTCCTTAGAGGCCAACATCGGGGGCCCAGAAACACTGAGTAAGCATTCACCTTCTGCGCACTTGGTTACGCCATTTAGATTGATGTTGTCGGAAAGAGCTGCTTCTTGCTCTGTGGAAATTGCTACCCCTGAAAAAAATACTCTTTTCATGAATTATCTTTTCCCACAGTTGAGCACTTAATACATACAGTGGAGGTACCCTACCTCAGAGATACAGATTGCATTATTAATACGGACAGGTAGGTAATGAGAGCTCATTCATTCCAGTGTGTACTGTATATACTTAAATCTGACCAAGAATATTTCTAGACTCTAGTATTATACTTGCCATATTGTCGCAATCTTATTTTCCCCCCAAGGCATAATCATCAGCCAGATGGAACCATAACTTATCTTAGCCAACATGTTCTTTATCTCCTTACCAGCCATCACTCTGTCTCATTATTTTCTAATTATCTCAGTCCTGAAAAAATGATCTTGCTTTGTATGAAACCTGTGCAAATGCCTAATAGAGTTTGTGTAAAAACATCAAAGGATTTTTAAAATTTCTATTTTGTTTTTAATGAATGCATTATCAAACTGATCTGCTTTATAGAACTAAGGGTCAAAATGATAGAGAAAGGCTAGAATCAAAGATTATGAAAATTTAGAACGTACAGGATTTCATCCAGGAAGCTGGTTACCAAAACTTTAGTTTTATAAGGATTCCTAAAAGAAGTGTTTTCTAAATGTACATGTAAAATGGTTATGGGGGGCTTATTTTAAATTATTTTTTTTCCTGAGGATTCTGTATTTTGTCATTGAAAACAAAGACAATTTTTTAAGAAGGACCTGTGGACATGCACATAGATAGCATGGAGTCAAGGAAGTGGGTAACTGAATAGGAAAACTTGGTTTACAGAGATGGAAAGGAGTTAATGGAGTCACATAGCGGCAGGGCTGTGTTTATTAAAGGGTGCTGTGTATGCCTGCCGTTTCTGCTCTGCCCTTTCTCAGGTGGACAGGAAATGCTCTGGGCACACCTGTCCATCGAGGAGATGCCAAGGGTCCCTTCGCTGAGGGACTCCAATTTGGAACTGTGTATACTATTTGAAACTATGTTCGAAATAAGGCTCCTAATAAACCTTTTCCTGCATTGAACGGCAACTCACTGCCTGCTTTTAATTGACAGCTGGGTGCTAACTCCTCAATAACGCCATAGTCGTGAGACACAGTCCAGGTCCCACCGTCCACCATTGAAGTACTAGACAATTACGCAGCATGCGACGAGACTCTGAACGTGTCTCATTTGGGAGAGAATAGTGCCCACATTTACCTTAATGGAAAGAATGACCAGACCTTGGCGATGTTATGGCTGAACAATAACCAGCTCAGCTTACACTCCAAATGTGTTCCCAACAGAAAAAGAGATATACTTGGTAGAAACAGAAAAATATAATAAAGTAGACTTCTTCTGTTGGCAGAGCATATATATTTATACATTCTTCTGTGTTTAGCTCAGTGGTTAGAAAACAGTTCCTGGAAAGACTGCAGGACACGAATGTTTTCAATTTGAGGTTGTACATTTCATCTAATTCCCTGGGACAAGGTTCACTGCCCTGGAGGTGGCTTGGCTCGGTCTTTAAAACACACACTAATGAATTTCAGGTTTGGGACAGAAAATGGCTGGTCCATATCAGACAATCATGTGAACTTGGAATTGTTTCCCATTAAAGTCTTAAACAGCTATGTAATATCACTCTGGATACTGGGCTCCTCTACTGTCTCCAGACACGGAGAGTTGATTGCCCGCACTCCGGGTACTCAGTGCTTGCCTGCTTTTAAAACGTAGATCTGGCGGGTACCTTCATTTTTGTAAAGAGAACCTTGTGGGAGAAAACAGGGCAAAGATGATCTGAGCGCAATTGGTTATATTGAAGGACACTTCAGAATAACCTGAACACAACCTGAGAAGATTTGTTTGGGCTGAGTATGTTTGTTTTGTCCTCCCAACTGTTTAAAGTGAATGAAAATGCAAAAGAAAGTCATCTTTCATATCTTTCACATTGATACGTCTAGCAAGAGTTTAAGAGATTTTATCTCATCTGATCCAGCCCACCCGAAAAGTCAAGGAAGTGGGTAATTGAATAGGAAAACTTGTTTCACGTCAATGGAAAGGAGTTAATGAAGTCTCAGAAGCCCCTTAATCAGAACGACAGAGTCCCAGCCGTGTGCTGCCACCCGGGCTGGCACACCTTTGGCAGTGCCTCCAAAGACTTGATTCTGACCATCTTAAAAGACAGATGCAGTTATTCAAGTTGGCAGATATCTTGCCTATATCCTCAGAGTGAGTCACAATTTGCACTGGGCCAGTCGGGGGGAAATGTTGATTTCATGAATTCCTTTATCTGCGAAAGACTGACGGTGGACTGTAATTTCCTTACGGAGTGTGGGAATTTCCATTTCTCTGCATGAGGCTGTATTTGTCCCAGGTGCACCATTCATCGTCTGTGAGGCTGTGCACAGGCTGTGCAAGTCTCCCGTCGGGGCCTCAGTTTCCTCCTCCCTAACTGAAGCAGGGTGGGCCCGATGATCTCCTTAGGCCCTTTCTACCTTTTGTACTCTGAAGTTCAGCGCTGCTTTTGCACGCAGGAGGTTAGGGCATCATCTGCACTGATCAACAAGAGACAGTTTGGGTTGTCCAGCTGATAAACTCTTCCAGCAGACAAATGCGAATGCACAGCAACATGTGAGCCCTGCAGAAAGTTTGTGCCGGGCTTGCTGGAGTGATCAGTGGAAATCCAGGCTGATAAAGCACCTCCAAGTGCTCGGCAGGGCTTGTCAAATGACAGTGCCCCATCAGTCCTGGAGGCTTCCTGGAGGTGGTGGCCTGTTCAAGATCATGCCAAGCAGCCCTGAGGTGTCAGGATACAATCTGGCATCAGAAGGCCTTGGGTTCCTCCACACTCCTCGCCGTCCCTACCAACTCAAATGTCCTAGCCTTGTACTTTGGCGAGTTCCGTCATTGCTCGAAAACTTCCGTTTGGTTATTTTTTTAAATGAAAATAATCTACTTTTTAGAGGAAAATGCTTAAAGATAAAGCATTTGAAAGTGTCTAGCAAATAGGTGGAGCTTGATAAATAGGGAACTAAAACCAGCAATTTGTAAAAACAAACAAGAAAACAAAAAACAAGTAAGATAACCTTATCTGAAAGCCAAGGGGGGGAAAACAAACATTTGTGTAATGAGCAACATTTCACAAAGTACTTTAGGACTCCTTTTACAGAGAATCCCTGCAAGTTCCCAGGGTCACACAATGCTTGGAAACAGTGGAGTGGACATTTAGGTCTTCTGATTCCAAAAAGCTGTTGTGCTCCTTTTACAATATGCTACCAACACACCATTACGCTTGGTATATTTTATACTAAGGTTAAACTGATGGTGGTTCTAGAAAAGGAAATACATGATCAGAAATGGTAAGAGTAACTATCCGGGGTCTACCCTCACACCCTCTCTATGTTACCCCAGTTGTGCTGACTACCATTTAAGACAAACCCAGCAAACCCCGGCCCCTTGCTCCTCACTTTGTGGGAATCTTAATTCCGAAGCAGCTCCTAGGGATAGCTGGAAGATTTGAGTATCTCTGGGATGTTGCTGTCCAGTTTCGAAATAACTTTATAAATGGGTTTCTTCCAGGAAGGATCTGAGTCTTTCCCTGCGGAGACAGCCCTGAAGAACTCCCGTAATGTCAAGCTGGCCACTTCCAAGAAGCAGTCTGGGACCTGTATTCCCAAAGAGACCAGCAAGAAAGAAGAGACATGAGGCCATGGAGCACTGGAGCCCTGCGGCCCCCGCCCCCTGCTGCTGCCTGTGCTTGGAGGGCGGTGGGCTGATAAAAGCATCTCTGCTCTACTCGCCCCTGATTTTTGCAGCCCTGCAAACCCTCTGCTCCCTTATCCAGTACAAACCTTAAAATGATGGTACCAATGAGACAACCTTGGAAGAAAGCATGTTAAGGACACTCCTTTGTAGCAGGAGCTGATTCTCATTTTTAGTAAATGAGAAAGTCTGACTGATTGAAATTAAACCTGTGGTTCAAAGGGGGTTTTTAGCCTTCTTTTCCTTTGCACCTACTGTGGAAAAGAGTGCCCCCAAGTTTATGAGCCATACCTCATCCCGCTGTCTTTTGGGGCTGGATCCTTAGGATTTGGGATCATTCCTGCTTCCAAAACCATCCACGAGGTTGAGCGGGGCTAAAGAACATTTTGCAGGACCTCACTCAGACTGGCACCATAATCTTAGATGGGGACATCTCACAGGTCCTCCAGATCCAGCCTGGCCCGGGGCTCACCGCCACTGCATGCCAAATGACCACCCCCACGTGGAAAGACGTGGCAGTGCTGCCCCTCCCACATGTCCTGACCCCACAAGGCTCAGGAGGTATGGTCAATTTTCCCCACGGGCCGACTTGGGTTACCAAACATATTCTAATGGAGCATTTGACCAGTGCATGCCAGCAGCTCTTCCCTTCCATGGAGTTATCAATAAACTGCTTGTTGTGACCACAGTCACTTGAGAAAGTCAAGAAGAGGCAAGTGTGGTTGGTGACCAGACACAGCTGGCACCTGCAGAACAAGATGCCAGGCTAACAGAGCGGTCAGCTGCATGTAAGGAAACGTGCATCTGTAGTAGGAGTCCCCTCCAGTGATATGTAGATCACTTGTTCACCCTTTACTGACGCCTTATCACTAGGGCTCCACCAGTGTGCCTTCATAAAGATCTCCAAAGGACTAAGGAGCTCGAATATCGTTTCCTTGGTATTTCCAGAAAGGAATTGAGATGACTTACCATGGAAGGCCCACAAATAAAACTGTTCAAGTGAGAATAAAGATAAGAACCAAATGATGAACAGAAATTGTTGTCAAGAAAACTTGGGCTGCCTTGGCCAGGTAACTAAGTTGGAGTGTTGTCCCGATACGCCAAGGTTGCGGGTTCAATTCCCAGTCAGGGTTCATGCAAAAATTAACCAATGATTAGGTAAATAAGTGGAAAAACAAATTGATCTCTCTCTCTCTCAAATCAATAGATTTATAAAAAAGAAGAAGAAAAGGAAATTTTGATCTGGACTAGGTGCTGCAGCTGAGCCCAGCGTTTACTCCTGAGCCTCCTGGCGCTAAGGCAAAAATGTCAACAAGTTATGTAAGTTGATAATCACAGAGTATTAAGACTAAAATGGCATAACACCCAGCAGACCACTGCTTCAGTTTCCGAGTGAAGACTGGCTGTATATTCCGGTTCCAGCACTCACCTGTTGCCTAAGAGAAGACATGAGGATTGCAATCTTTGTAGATAGTACAGAGATCGGCCCCAGGCTGCCCTGGCTCTCAGCAACACAAAGACAGACACAGAAGGGATCTTTTCTAAAACCCCAACCTCATGCGACCAAGTATGTGGTCTTACCTCAAAGTCATTTCCCTTGTTATAGTGCATATTGAGAGCTCGGAAAAGCTCTGAGTCGCGGAGAACCACCAGCACTTTGGGATTCGTGACGCCATCTGAAATTGCTTGCCGGGCAAATTTCTCCATCTGGATGTAATAGAACTCACGAAAGTTGCTGAACCACTTGATCATCTGGGAGGTGATGCAGCGGTTGAACTGCACAAACAAGGGGGTGCATCAAGTCAGCCGTTTATTTACGACAAGGTGCTCAGAGGTGGAGCTGTCAGCTTCCAGTGCAGCACAGAGGCTCATAAGAGTGGCTTCAACCCATGTTAAAAAGGGCTTCCTTTGAAGAAGCCATGGCTATTTTCTAAGCCTATTCAGTTATATACAGAAAAATCTGAATTAGCTATAGTGCCCATTCGAAAACAAATTTTTTTGGTATATTAGATTTGTGAAGGTTTTTCACCTGGGAAAATGTTGCCTTGGTGTCTAGGTGTGACTTTAGGAGGGTCCAGGGTCAAGGCCAGTTTGGTACCAGCTCCTGCTGCACCCAGGCCAATTGCAGGGCAGCCCCAGAGCCTTCTGCCAGATAAGGGGCCGAGGGAAAAGAGCGAGGGTGTAGATAAGAGAGCAGTTAATCAGCAACTTGGAGTTGCAGATTGAGGCGAAATCAGAGCTTGGTGCAGGGATCGACCAAGCAACTAAACATGAAGAGAGGCCTGGAAAATGTGAAGGAACGATACGGCCACAAAGGATTAGCCCTCACCCAACGCTCATGGTAAAGAAGGCCCTTAGAAACTTCACAGGAGCTGGCAAGATCGGGTTCCTAACATCAGAGCTTGATTTTCCTTATTGTCACACTCGACTTGTATGTCTCTCCACTCCGTTTGAAACACTGCCATCTGAATGTCCATTTGACAGTGTCCCACTCTTTATACATTCTGTCTTTTTCATAGTGTCTTTAGCAAAGACAGAACACTAGGCCAGAGACACCATTTACAAATGTTTCTCCCCCGACCCGCGACTGGTCCCTCCCCATGTGTTCTGGGTATATCTACAGCTCAGGGCTTCAAAGTTCAAATGCCCCACCTTCCTAGCCCAAAGGTATTCACGATTATTCAGACCAAGTCTCAACCCAGAACTGGAAATCACACCAATTCTGTCAATGCTAAGGGGAGTTAGGGTGCACAGGTCTTGTCCCAGGACTTGCCTCACACTGGGCAAAACCCACTGCCGCTCGGGAGTTTGCCAGAAGTGACACTCAGTGGAATGGTTTTACCTGTACATCAGGGAAACAAGCCTTCAGGAGGCTGGAGCTGGGGTAGCGTGTGAAGAAAAACATTAGTTTGGCCTTCTTCAAGTGGCCAGGGTTTAGGCCCTCCTGGATGTGTCCCAGTGTCAAGGAAAATTAACACCAGTTCATCAAACAACATTATCAAATTACCCAACCAATGACTTAGGTACAACAAAATCCTGGTCCTTATGATTTTTATTTTATTTTGGTTGAATGGTGTGTTCGCTCCATTCCTCTGTCTCTAGCAAGTCTGATCTGATACGCTTTTCTTTCCTGATGCTGAATACCATGCATGTACACTCCGGTTGCAGAATTTAATAACACTTGTGATGTGTAAAATTTCTATGGCACAAGTAACATCAGACAGTTTGTACTTTGCATGTGCTTTCAGAATAGGATGGGAAGAGATGGCAGCTCCATCCCCGATAAAACATTTTGAAACCCCAAGTAGAGAGTTACGTTCCCTATCTGCCTCCGTTTCCTCATCTGTAAAATGAGCCAACTCAACAGTCCCCATTTGGGTTCTTGTAATTGCCTTTGCAGTGTTTGAGCCCACAAGCATCCGGCTGGCCAGTACCATTTTGCTCACAGTTTGCTTTGCCTCAAGGAGCTTGACCTGCTGCTCTGCACTCGCTCTCTGCTCACCTGGAAGAACTTTCGCTCCTCCTTCCTGCCCCAGTTCAGACACTTCCTCCTCTGTGAAACCATTCCTTGCCAAATTAGACCTTCCTTGCCCTGGGCTACCAAGGCTCCTTGTACAAACCTCTGTTGTGGCAATGACCTTATGGGAATTTTTACTGCATGTTTGTCTCCCTATTTAGACTGTGAGCTCCTCAAGGGCAAGGACCTTATTTTTTAATCTTTGTATTCCACGTGCCTAGCCCAGGGCTAGGAACATAGTAGGTGCTCAATAAATGTTTGTTAGATAAAGGAATGAGTGAATAATTAAATTGCCACCTTTAATCCATACACAAATAGGGAAACTGTACTGCAACCCATACCTCGGTGTGGGAACAGATTCCTTCCATTTTAACGAGAGCAGGGAGCTGTGATATGACTGCCTAGGACCAGGGTGGGAGGGAAACCACAAGCACACTTGGCATTGCCGTGGACAGCCCTGGGGCTGCGCGAGAAGCCGAACACAGGAGAACCTTGGCACTCAGGCCTGGGAGCGATAGCTGTAGGACAGCTAAAGCCTTTCAGTTGGATGTATCGGTTTAGCCCAAGGAAACCAACTGATTGTAGAGCTGGCCCTGGCACCCAGGCTGCCTTCTAGAAAACCCTAGCACCCTGCCTCATTGGCCTTACTTCTTGTTCTTCTTACAGATTCACAAATGCTGTGGAAAGAATCCTGGACGTGGGTGTCCAAATACCCAGTTTCTGATACTGATTTTGCCACCCGTTAGCTGTGTGACCTTGGGCAAGCCACTTACCCTCTCTGGGCCATTTCTAAATGTAGCCTATAGTGGTTGAAACTTGTGCTTGGCAGTCAGATCCTGATTTTGAACCCTGGCTCTGCATATGTCTGTCTTGTGACTTTGGGCAAGTTAGTTAGCTTTTCTGTCGCTGCCTCTCAGCAGATCTAGGGTGGATGCTGGAGGCCCACAACCTCTTATCTGCAACACGAGGCCAAACGGAGTTCAGATTTCAGAATTTGTTATTTTATAAAAGTAATCTGGAATGTGTACCACATGTTAGTTAACCCCCACAGTGGAGGCTGTGGCAGCAGCCTGCAACCCAATACATTAATATTTCCACGGCAAAACGGATGACTATTCACACTGAGTGGGGCAGTCCATACATAACCTCCAACACTGCAGGTCAGGTTTTGCCACCAAAAAAGCTCCCATCAGCCTTCAGGCAAAAAAAAAATTATAGGGATTTTCAGAGCTTTTTGGCTTTCGGAACGTAGCATAGTGGTGGCAGACACATGCACATGTGACGTGCTGGTAGCAGCGATGCCACAGACAAAGTGCACAGCAAATGCTACCGTCATCATTAACTCCCAGCCACACCTGTCTCGCAGGGATGTCATGTGAATGTGAAAGTTCTTCTACACTTCAAAGTGAAGAACACGTAGCTCTCGGGCGGTTTTCACGGCCCACAGGACTGAATCTCTAATGCTGGAATGTAGGCAGCAGGAATAGTTGGGGGGTCAGGATGCTGCCTGGGGGCCCCAAATCATTCCAAATGTAGCCAAGAACCTCAGCTGTGCAGCCAGGCCGTGGATGGGCCCCCAAACCTCCTGCAGCTCTCTGAGCCCACTCATCAGCTCTGAAGCTCTCCTCATCTCACAGGGCAGGGCCCAGCACACAGTAGGCACACAGAGAAGGGTCAGCATGGCCCGCCCCAGGGAAGGGCAGCCGAGAATTTTTGAGGACTGAGTTTTCGAGTTTCTTCCACCATTGCCTGCCTTTAACAGGGAGTCTTACCCAGAGGCCTCTTTATTGAAGACCCAGACGGGTGATCGCCTAACAATCGCCTATCTATGCTAATAGCTCTGGACCTCCGAGATTCCCTGCTGCCTGAAGAGGCAGTGGTGGCAGGTGGAGTGTTCTTAGCATTGGTTTCGTTGTTGCTACTGCCTGCCTAGAAAGCTCCCAGCAAGCACCAAGCTTCGGGGTGTTTCCAACACCTGTGGCCAGCAGGGGGCGCACGTAGCACTTAGGACACAAGAGCCGGCCCTGGCGTGGCACTGAGCTGGTGTACCTGATCCTGCCGCTCTTACTACACTCCACGACTGTTCACACCACTGACACGTCGACCTCTGGACACTCAATTCAAGGCTGCCCGTGAGACGCAGCAGCGTGGGTTCAGCTCGCTTTTAAAAAGCAACATTCAAAATCCGTTGTCGGGAACTTTAGTCCTGCAAGGTGCTTGTTGGAAGAGGGTCCCGCGGTCCTACGAGTTTGGGACTGCATATATTCTCTCCTCTTGGAGCTTCACAGTGGACTTCTGCATGTGAAAGGCTCTGAGGAGTCCCGCAGCAAAGAAACTAACCCCGTATTTACAGAAGCTACTTTTTCTCCCCCCGCCCCAGTTCAACAACTAGTAATATCCTGAGGAAGATATACTCCAGGAAAGCCTATTGAAGAGAGTGGAGTCTGCCTAAGGTGGCAAAGATGATGCAATAAGGTCCAGACCCTTGCACACCAGCCTGGCCCCTCAGCCTCCCTTGGGAGTCTCCTCTCCTGCCACTCGCCCACCCTGCAGGCTCTAGTCCTTTCAGCTGCAGCTTAGAAGCTGTTCCCTACACTGAAGGCTCCTCACCCCCTTCCAGCTGCCTCAGGTCTAGTCCCTGAAGAAAATCTCTCCTTCCCCATTTGTCTCAGAAGTTTCTGGTCCCTCAGATCTTCCTCATGAACGATCCAGACAGAGCTGCGCATTTGCCTGTAGAGCCCAGAGGTTGGGGGAGCCATGCCTCCAATGAGGTCATTCCTTTGTCCTTTCTGCTGTATCGGGGCCGCTGACAACCACATTATGGAGTTCTTCCTTCCATAGGGTAGGCATCACATTTTGGAAGCCCATTTGAGCTTAAAAACAAAGAAAACCCTTTCAGACTCAAAGCAGTAAGTCATTAGTGGTAGAATCGGATGTGTCATAGAGAAGATAAACGAACCTTCCTTCCCAGCATCCTTAAATCCCAGAATAGGTTATGAATTTTCTCAGGAACCCAATAACCTGAGCCACTGGGAAGGAAGGTCCAGGGGCAACATTAAAGAGACAATCGAGAAAAGCAAAGCTATTCCCTATGCCGCGCGGTTATTTGTCTCTACCTCCCCTCTCTTCCCGATTTCCTGTTTCTCGGGCTATGACAATGAGACCTTTGACTACTTGTAAAGGATATGTGGACTGAGGAAAATGGAAGTACATCAGTGACAGCCCCCAGGCTACCCTGCTCCATCTTCACCGAGGGAAGGAAGGGCAGTTTTTCCAAACGGGTGGGAGCGAAGGGCACAGGGGGCTGCTGCTGGCTCAAAACCGACGGTCGCAGTTTGATGGCTCCCCAGGGGCGCAGGGCAGACTCTGAGGAGGAGTGACTTGGGGGAGACGGGTCCTGGGGAAGACTGCCGCTCCAGCGCCCGTTGGATCCCTGCCCCAGTAGCTGGCGAATGATCTGATTTTCCTGGATGTGGGAAGGTACTGTCAAGGCACAGTTTGCTGGGGGGGCCTGATAGGGTTTGGAGAGCATTCTTAGAGAGACGGGGTATCTAGGAGAGCCTAGAGGCTGGACCAGTGCCAAGTTCTCCGGCGGGCCCCCAGCCTGCGCCTGGGCCCTCCTGGGCAAGGCAGCCAGCGGAAGTGGGTCTCTACCGGCACCTCCCTCGGGGGAAGTCTCGCTTCCACCCTCTGGCACCGGGCGCAGGAAGCGTCGGCCCAGCTGAGTCAGGCGACCTGGTGGGTCCAGGAGTACCTTCTGTAAGACTGAGTCCACAGCCTGGGACACCGCCCCAGTCAATTCTTTCCTCAGCATCTCCATCAAAGCTTGTGTTCCAGGCCAGGGGAACAGGGACTCCTCAGGCTGGCGTTCGACCTCAGCTGCTCTGTGTTTTTCCTCCCCAGGGGGGTTCCCCCTGGAACCCTGGTGGTGGTCAGCGTCCCTGGCCCAGGGCCCACAGCCATAGCCATTCCTCTGCTTTACACTTGGGGGGCCCTGCCTCTTCTCAGCACCTCCTGGGCCCTGAGCTGCGGCCCCGGGCTCCGCAGCCTGCAGGATGTGCTCTTGCAGTTGTCTCAGCTGTTGCTTCAGCAGGTGAAGCTGTTCTCTCACGCGAGGGCCCCCCATCCTGCCGCCAAGGCTCCCAGCAGGGCCTGGCTTCAGCGGGGTTTGCTGCATGGGAAGGCTCTGCTTCCTCTTCCGCTCCCGGGCCTTCTCTGGGCAGCTCGGGCTGCCCCTGGCTCGGGCACTGCTGGGCCCCAGAGGGTTAGGGGAAAGGCCCATGCCTTGCACGATGGTCTCCACCCTGGCCCTCTTGGCCTGGATGTGCTCATCCCAGAACCAGTCAGGGTCGGTGAAGCTAGAATTGGGGACCAGGATCCGGGGAAAGGAGGAGTCTCTGGCCTGCTCACCGGGCGATGGGCTTCTCTGACCTTCCACACGGGGTTCTGCTGGCCGGCAGCAGACCCGGGACAGGGAGGAAAGCGAGCCAGAGTTAGGATCCATTCCCTGGCGCCACAGTCGCTGGCTCAGAGGCTGTGGGCTTAGCTGGGGCTCCGCGAGGGAATCCCTCCTCCTAATGTCCTCGGGTCAAGGATTCAGCCTTGGGGACGCCTGGGCTTAGGACACTTCTGGGCTGACTCTGAAATGAAAGACAGGAAGAACACAGTACCTGTGACTTTCAGCTTTTCACACTCGAATATGCAAACAGATCACCTGGGGACCTTGTCAAAATGTGGATGCTGATTCAGCAGTTCTGGGGTGGGGCAGAGATTCTGCATTGCTAACCAGCCCCCAGGGGCTGTGCTGCTGCCGGTTGGGACCACTCTTTGAGGAGATTCCTGAGTGACCCTCCAGGGAGAAGGTGCTTCTGCCAGGGGATAGCCATGACAGAGGAATTATAATAAAAATAACAAAGCAGCTAACTGCATAACTAGCGTTCTGCCGAGAAGTTTACATCCATTTCCTAGTTTAATTATCATAACAACTCTGTGAGCATGTTGTCATTCTTACTTTACAGAAAAAGAAACAGGCTCAAGAAGGTAAGAAGTTAACCTCCTGAAGCCAACCAGCTAGTAAGTGGCAGGCTGGAGTCAAAACAAGATTTGTCCAATTCAAAGTAACTTTCTCAGTGACTACCTGCAACAGAATCCTCTGGCGCTTGTTAAAAGCAATTCCAGCCCACAGACGCAGGCAACAGTGTGGCCACCGCCGGAAGGCAGGTGGGCAAAACAGGGTGGGGAGGAGGGGGTGGAGAATGGGACATCTGTAACGGTATCAACGATAAAAATAAAGAAAAAATAGTAAATTCAGTAGTACACCTGCCGGTTCTGCCAAACAGAATCCCTCAGCTCTGGGGCAGGGAAACTGCGTTTGAAACAAACAAATCAAAATGTGAGATCCAGCTCTCCTGCTCCTAGAACTATCAAATTATGCATTCATCAGCATCCCGTCAACATTTAATGACTATTAAGCGCCTCCGATGCATCAGGCCTTTTCTGGTCACTTGGAGAGACAGTGGTGAACAAGACTGGCAGAGCCTTGCTCTCAGGAAGCCGGCTGTCTAGCGGGGGAAGAGAGAATAAACAGTTCATTTTCAGGCCATGATACTGGCTAGGAAGAAAAAGAACAATAGAGACTGGAAATGAAGGCAAGAGGAAAAGGACGGAGCTATTTTAGGAAAGGCTGCCTAAGGCTGTTTGATTCCCACAAAGTATCAACATTTGCTGTGCTTTAACTTGGAGGCTTCTGAGAGCAGGTATAAGGCTCCACGAATTTACAGAACATTCGTACATGTTACCTCATTGCACCTCACACCAAACTTGAGGGTCAGAGTCATTCTCCCATTTTACAGGTGAGGAAGCTGAGGCTCAATAAAGCTGAGCCTGGCTCTCAGTTCCAAATCTTTTGATTGCACATATTTTGCGCAACCATTCTTCAGCTGCCTCCCTGAAGACGAAAAGACCTGCAAGAACGAGACTGACTTTTCCGTCTGTTAAGCAGATCCTTCCTTTCCCAGACAAAGTAAATGGTTTATTTTCCTCTACAAATTTCCACTCTCCTTTGCTTCTCTCGCACAAATGCTCTCAAGAGAGAGCTTGCTTTCTTCCTTCCACTTTCATCCCAAAGCTTCTTCGGAATTCTCTACCTCAGGCAAGTCTCAGCTCTTCTGTGGCTGGTGGATCCTCGTCTGCGGGCGTGGCCACAGCCTCTACCTGGAGCCTCCCGGCCACTAGCAGAGACGGCCCACAGAAGCTCCCCGCGAGCAGTGCCACTCCAAGTGCCGGGGGCAGAAGGCGGGAGGCAGGGGCCGTGGCAGCAGCATCACGGGGAACGTACCATTGAGAGGAGGCTAGGTTCTCGGGTCAGAATAGTTTGAAGGCTCTTGCTTTGAGTAAGGCATTTGTAAATTATCAAAATGAAAACAGATGACTTCCCAAAATAGTATAATTTGGAGAATTTCTTATCACCCAGTTTAATCGAATGCCTTGGGAGTCACTGTCCTCGACACTCACCTATGTTTTTTAAAATTTTATTTTCAATTACAGCTGACATACAATAGTGTATTAGTTCCAGGTGTACAACACAGTGATGAGACATTTACATATCTAATGATCACCCCAATAAGTCTAGCACCCATTGGACACCACCCGTAGTGATTATATTATTGACTCTATACCCTATGCTGTACTTGACATCCCTGTGACTGTTTTTGTTACGGGCAATCTTTACTTCTTAAGCCCTTTCACCTTTTTCACTTATCCCCCTGCCCCTTCTCACATCTGGTACCGGCTGGGCTCTGCGTTCCATGAACATGTCAAACTCCTTCATGCCTCCTGTCTTTGCGCTCACCTCTCCTTCTGCCTGGAAGGCCTTTCTGCCACTTTTCCACCCAACAAGCCCCAGCTCCTCTTCTAAAATCCAGATGAAATGTCACCACGCCTCTGAAGTGATCGGTGTGTCTTCCCCTTTAGACTGTGGGCTCCCTCTGCGTCTCCAAGTAGAGCCTGACTGCCAACTGTCACCCCATAGATGCTGACTCAGTTGAGTACATTGTTCTGTATGCACTTCATTTAGGCTGGTTTTTTGTTTCCTCATTAGCAGCATTTTATTTCAGATTCCTGTAGCACCTGCATGGAACAAAGTCAATACAGACAGAGAGGGAAGCAGAGAGAGTGCACGCATCCGCAACAGAGCGCACAGACCCGCAAACTTTCCCAAATCTCCCTTGCGGGTATTTGAGCTATGGTTCCTGAAGTGGTGTGTAGTTTGTGTGCTCCGGAAGGCAGAACTGCTAGGTTAACAGATGAGACTCAGCGTGTTTAGTGGTAACACTCAGCAGGATGTCTTGAGGCCAGAATCTGGATATCCAGCCTCCACTGCGGTTGGGCGCCCAGAGACGGCTATGTCCGTCTATGCCCGTCTCTGTGGGACGGTCGTGGAAACTCTGTCTGGGCGGAGGGACAGGAAGCCTCGGTGCTGGGGCCAGCGTGCTGCCCAAAGCCCTTTATCTGGGTGCGGCGTGAAGCTGTGCTGCTTTCTGTTTCAAAGTTAACTAGCAGCACTCACATTCACTGATAAAAGGAGCAATTGTCGCAACCCGTTCAAAATAGCCTGACTGCTTTTCTTAGATTATGAAAGTAATACTGGATCATTTTACTTCCCAAATATAGAAATGTATTAAGAAGAAAAGAAAGATACCTATAATGCAGTCTTCCAGAAAAAAAAAATTACAGTTAATAGGTTGGTGTTCATTTCTTCCAAAGTTTGTTCTCTGTGTACGTAGAAATCTACATAATTTCTCATGATTATATAAATTTTAAAAACCAAAAATGGAATTATAGATCCATAACTCTATAGCTTCATGTTTTTCTCTTTCACATCAGTGAAAATCAATCTATTAACAACATTGTGAAAGTTGGTGATATTCCATTTCATGGACGTACCCTAATTGATTTAATAAATTCCCTTTGATAGGCAGGTTTTTCCCTATGTTTTCATTATTATAGCAGTAGAAACAACATAGTGTGAGGATTGAGACTGTGGGCCTCTGAGTCAGACTGCCTGCGTTTAAGTCCTTAGAGCCACTTACGAGCTTTGTGACCTCTTTGTACCTCAGCTTTCTCATCAATAAAATTGGAATAACCATCGCCCTTACTGGTATTGCAGGGTTTTGGTGGGGATCCAATGAGGTGACACATGTTTTTAGAGCAGTTGCTGGCACATGGTACATTGCTGATAACTGTTAGCTGTTGTTATGGGTAATATTGAGACGAACACTCCACTACCTACATCTGTGGGAACTTATCCTATTCTTTCCTTAGGATACATTTCTAGAAGTGGAAATTCTGGGTCAGAGACTAGGCATGTGTTAAACATTTTTACTTGTCGCCCAAATGCCCGCGAGGGATGTACCGACTGATTGGGGGTGAGGATGTAAGGTTGATGCAGAGCTTTCCATTTTTATTCTGTACGTCTCTGTATTAACTGAATTTGTATAAAAATGCATTCATGCATTATTTGCATATATTTTTTAAAATAGCCCATGCGCTCTCTTACCAACATGTCTATCAAAGAACACATATCCCCTCATCTTCATCAACACTGGGTATCATCAGTCTTTTAAATCTTTGCCGATATGATGAGTAACAATGTTATCATTTGTATTTCTGTGATTCTTAGTAGTCTTGCTCATTTTTAATATATTTTGAGGGAATATTTATGTGGTATACCTTATAAAACAAACATGTTTATACCATTTGAGTCAATGGTCCCAGATCTCAGAAGTAAAATCAAGAAAATATTTTATACCCACAGATTTATGTAAAAAATGATTATCCTAGTATTATTTATAGAGATTGGTGGAATAAATTATAAAGTATCGTGTCATCTATGACAGACTATTGTGCAGCTATTATTTTAAAATCATGTTAAAGAAGAGTTTATAGAATACTATTCTATAATAAGTGGGAGAAATTACATATTAAAAATTCAAAGAAAAAAAGGTGAGAAAGAAATACATTAAAACATAAGCTATAGTTCTTTCTGAGTGATGGAACCATGGGTAATTTTTTTCCTCTACTTTTCTCTGTATTTTGCATATTTTCGATAGGTATACTTTTACTTTTCTAATTTAAAAAGTCAACCTTTGCCTTTGGTAATTAAAAATGTCTACTTGTTGGGGAGGCTCTGCAAGGGCTATATGGAAATTTCTGCACATTCTGCTCAATTTTGCTGGGAACCTAAAACTGCTCTAAAAAATTAAGTCTATTAAACAAACAAACAAACAAAGCTTGCATTTTCTTTCATTGAGCCTTTCCCAAACATATATTGCTGGGCACCAGACATAAAAAGCCCCACTAGGAAAATCAAATTTTGCTACAAACATGAGCACAGAACACAGGGCTCATGAGGTATCTGCAAAGTTATATAGGATTTTATAGCTAGAAAGTGTAACATGAAGGTGAAGTTTAATTTTAAGTAAGAGAAAGAGGCTGTGTGCCATC